TTTGTGGTCCATTTTCCATGCCTCTTTATTGAAGTCTGTTCGGTTATTATAGTCTTCGACAGCTGTGAAAAACTCGGCAGCCTCGGTGGGATTTGAATCCACGACGGCAAGGGGCAAGCTTTAGTACACCCAACTCTAACCACCTAAGCTACAAGGTCCCACCGGGAGCCGTGAGTTTAATCATACTATGGGTAAAGTTAACCGTCCAGCCTACTGAAACATGGAATCCACCATGGCTACCAGGCGCAATTAATTTGTCGTCTAATGGATTCTAAATCTATTGCTTAGAAACTTCTGACTGGGCAGTCGGCTTACTGCATTATAATTGGTTGATTATAGACGTTGCAGTAGGTTTAGCAGGTATATTGATCCAAGTGTGATTAAATTCACGGCTCCCTCAGGACTCGTAGCTCAAATGTTTCGCGATTTGGCTGTTGTAAAGCCCTCCCAGTGCTGTTGTGGGTTCGAGTTCCACCAAGGCTGACGAGTTTTTCACAACTAGGTCAAATGCACTCTTCTAACCTCCCCACCCCACCTACCGTTTAAAGGGGCAAGGCTGCCGTTTCGTGGTTTAAATCCGACTCATACCGTTATGACCCGCGCCTAGTACTTGTAATTAGCAAGAACTCTGAGCTAGCCCTGCTGTTTTCACTAGGCCCAGTACCAGAGAACAAGAAAAGTCACTCTGCCACGAGGGAAGTGTATTAACACCAAACAAGTCACAGCACAGTCTGCGTGTCTTTTATTCGGTCGGCTTGATGTGGAAGCGTCGGCGACAATTAGCCAATCATCAATGACGAAAAATCGATAGTCACAGCCCCAGGCGCGTTCTCATTTCCGCGGCGCGACAGCTGTGTTCCCACGCTTTTCCGTGCTGTGACTCGTCGTAGGAATGGACGCATTCCCAACTCATACCTACCTCGTGTGGGCCTACTTTAAGAGGTATCCGCAACTAAACTCTCCTCGGATTTATGTTAGTAATACAGGAGTGCGCACAGTTGATGCACATTTATCGGGCAGCCATACATATACACAGTTCGTTTTTGGTCCTTGACACTGACTGCCCCTGTACTGTTGGCGTTTTCTGGTTGCTACTTCGGCAAGCTTGTGCGTTGTCATCGCGGTTAATGCACCAAGCCACCTCAAATCATAAATTAGTGGTAACAGTGAGTGCAGAGAGGAATGGGTGTGCCCAGCTCTCACTGTGGCTCTGTTGACCTCCTCAGCTGTCTTTAGCAGGTGATTAAACTTTCTGCGCCGTATAGCGGCGTTGCCGTCTATGGATCCTCGGCTTAGTGGGCAGATACGATTTGTTGACGAAGGCAAATGCCCCCAAACCGATCGCCGCAGTCTCCGCTCATTCCGTACGCATTACCTCTCTCTGAAAACAATTTTAAACGCGTTTCAAATCGAAAAAAACATGCAGGCGAGCAGACAAAAACGCAAATGCGTCGTTGCATTGAGATTAGCGCTATCGTCATGACCGGACTCATCGTGTGCTAGGGATTTTGTCGGACCCCCCCCC